AAAAGAAGTTTTGGTTCAAAGGTTAAAATTTCCACTTTCACTTACAGTCTAGGCTTTAAACACAAGACATACACACACACACACACACACACACACACACACACACACACAAACACAAACTAACGAACAAACAAACAGAAAAGAAAGATATCCAGGCTATGGCCTCTGGATTGTACCCAGCCTATGAGAACAATTTATCTGGTCCAATCCTTGCTCTGGAAGTCATGAGAAAAGACACAGAGCTGAGCATGAACCTGATAAATTGCTCCAGATGTTCGTTCGCCAAATGCTTCCAAAAGATCCCCACCCTCATCATGTAACTTGAACTGTGTCCATCATATGACTAAAAGACAAGTACTCCCCATCACAGAACATACAATTTCATTACATGAAACCAGGTATGCAGATTGCCCACATGATGATGTTTCCTGTAAACTTGTCAGGTACATGTCAGTCACATATGACCCCATCATGGATCCTCCTGGTGAGGAGTGTGCATCTATACAGCCCTTGCATTCCTCCATTAGATGCTATGGGGCTTACTCAAGACAATGTGACACTTAAGTGGCTTCAGAAAAAGAGGAAGAAAGTTTGAGAGTTACCACCTACTTGTGACCGAGTTTGAAGAAATTATTCCATTCAAAACGTTTGTTTGAGCCTGACCTGTTTTTTTTATGTTTCACACTCTTTTAGCAAACAGCTGAGGTTGAAACTCATGCTAACAGTGTTTAGGAGCCTGTTTTTTCAGGACAATTTTTCAGAAGCATTCTTCATCTCCAAAATTGGGTAGATCTTTAAAAATAAACTTCATAGGAATGCAGTAAAAAGGAAATAGTGCAGAAGCATAAAAATAGACTCAGGAGTCCAATAACAAACTATAAATCATTCATTTCCATCACACACTGACTTGCAACAACACTTCGGCTTTTACTAAAGAAAATCAGAACATTTAGGGACAGGTTCATTACTTCTAACCTGAAAGCATTTACTCCCAAGTCAAGGATACCACAGGAGACCATGGTGTAAGTCATCTGTTTTGGCTTAGACAGACTCCAGCTCTATTTCACTGTGCCTGACAGAAGGGATGAGTGAGGCTGTCCACATCCTTTGTGAACTCAAGGCAGATCTCATACAAGCTTGGGTCCTACTCATGTGATGTCTACTGCAGAACTGCACTCCTCCTTATGAAAATACATTAAGTTTGTATCAGAAAGTTATAGGCAATAAGAAGAAAGAGTTGAAATGGGGCGGGAAGGGGACGAGATTGAATAATATCATGGCTAAACCCAAATCAAGTGATCGAGGAGCACACACTGCATCTGCAGGCACTACAGGCATGCTCCTGCCACCCCCAGCCCAGTAAATATAGCTTGACACCATTATTTTTTTTTAATTTACACAGTTCAGATTACTTAGCTAGTCTCCAAAATTCATTTAGCACTTACTGCAATCAATATATTAATCATTCACACCCACAAAGTAGCTCCAAAGAAGTAAATATCATTAATTAAGAGAATAACTTAGAAAAGCATATAGTCCATGTTTGCTACATTAAAAACATATTGGTTACGGTGAAGAAACACATAATATGAATGAACACATCCCAAATTACTTGATAGGAGTTGCCTTTGGTCCAATACAACTAAAAAAGTGTTTTTGACTAAAAAAAACCAAAACAAACAACACACCACCAAGAATTCTAATTAGTGTGAGTAATATATGGACTGATTCAATATAGATAACCTACTTTAATTCTATGATCAGAAATTGGTCAGACACATGCATGTCAAAAAAGGACTTCTAACTATGTACAATTTATTTTACCAAACATTACTATTAATATGTCTAATTTCTAGTACTATCGGATAGTAAAATCCCCATGTTCTATAGGGAATCCAGTGTCATAGTACAACTTGCTTCCTGCTAGAATCTCACTAGGACAATCTCACTAAGTTACTGGAGGAAAAAAAAAATGGAAAAAAAAAATCAAATGCACGTAACCACCCAGTGAATAATGCAGAATCAACAGCCCACGAAACAAAGTCTTAATTTAAAAGTGTAACATCACATTGCTTATTTTCTTAATAGCCTCAATCACTCTGTATTTTTCTCGTTTTCAGGGGATCTGTACAGATGGGACCTGAAAAGCCAGCACATTCAGCTGTATGCCATTTCAAGGCAGGCAAAAGTACAGGGCTAAGAGACATGAGAGAGGGATTTCCACCTCGAATTCATAGAAGATCCAAAGCAAGTTGCAAATGGTGAGACACACTAGAAAGAGCTGTAGGGATTAGTTATTGGAGCATCTTCTTTTGCAATTTACACACATTTCCTCTCTGGGCTAAGTGTAAATTTTTAATTTTGAGAGACTGATAAAGTCTGTCTGAAAAAGTTTCAAGTTTAAGATAAAACTTTTCCTTGAGCTCTGGCAATTGTATTGCTACAACAGAACTTCTAGCGCAACAGTCGCAACATAGTACAGACTTTTTTTAAACATTAACTGGGTTAAGAAATCAAAGCCTACCATTTAGCTATGGAGATAAGGTGTGTAATCTTTTAAAGAAACAATGCTTACAGATTACAAGCTACTGCCAGGCTATTGCCCTGCATTCTTTGTGCATCCCAAACTCACAGGGAGGCTGAAATTCTGTTATCTCTGGTAAATCAGCACTGATTAGACAGCATATGTGCAGAAAAAAAAATCAGATTCATGATAAGGCATAAGAAAATTCTAGACTGGCTTTTAGCAAAACCAAAAATTTTAAGTAGAAGGAATATATTACATGTCAGGTTGGAAAGCAGAGTCTAACAGTCACAAAAGCTTCTAACAAATTAGAACAGCCATATTAGCTTCTGTTCTGCTTAAGCAGGAGACCAGAAGTCATATTGTAGTCACAGAGAGGACTGCACGATAAGTAAGCCTTTATAACAGTACCTGTGGGCTCACCCTGTACGTCTGTCCTGGAAAAACAAAGAACTCAAGTCTTAGCATAGGCATAATTGGAGAAAAAGCCATTGAAAAAAAAGTAAGAGTTCAAGGTACAAACAACACTATCACTCACTTACATACTCATAACATTAACATCTAACTCATCAAAAAAGTAGATTGCTCCCTTGAGTACTTTCAAGATCTTCAAACCTACAAGCACACTACCACTTTTATCACAGAGGTACTAATTAATTAAGCAGTAGAATAGAACTGTTCACATCTCATTTTACCTAGCTTTTGAATTGGGTGAAGCTGAATGTGTTCTGTTGCTGTTGTTAAAAAAAGGAAAGAACAGGTAAAAAAAGGAGAAAGAGAAGTTTCTTCAAAACACATGCATAAATGGCTACACATGATATAAGACTGATTTACAGCAATTCTGACCATGAATCAAAACAGATTTGTTAAGCCTCCATCATTGCTACCTGATAAAACTACTATTTTTCATTTTGTTTTAATCAAATCTTATAAATAAGCCTAGGATTAAACTGCTTTTATGTAATTTATTTTCCTATGGACCCAAGTAAAACCTGATTAGCACCAAAAGCAGTATTTAGTAACACTCCTCAGGAGTGCCCAAGATACTATACTAAACTGCATGCTGTACAATCAAGAAGTTTAGCATAAAGTAATGGCACTAATACCTCTGTGTACAAGATAAACTACGTGCTACTATAAGTATACTTTTTTCTTGTTTCCATCTCTTACTAGCAGCCAAAGGAGTGACAAGTAACAAACTCCTCAGAAGCACATCTATTCTTTTAAGCAGAAATGGGAGCTAGCAGAACAACACAGCCAGGAGACTGAAAACAGTAGCTATCTACTGTAGGAGAGCAAAGAAGAGGAAGAAAAATGGAAGTGGGTGGACAGCAGCTGAGCAGCGATAGCAAATGGAAGGAGTGGGAAGGCAAAAAAGAGCAGATGAATAGGGAAGGAGACAAATGAGATGTGAAAAGAAACAGAAGACAAAATTGCCAAGAGTTAGTCTAAAACAGCAGTTCTTAAATCATGGCTCAGCGAAAGGAAATTACAAAGTCAGCCTGACAGGAAGAGTAAATTACAATGCTGCTGTCAGCATCTTACTTCTGGAGTGGTGTTGCCAAGAGTCAGCCATGGTTGGGAATTACTGGCAGACCATGTGGCCAGTGCAAGTGCTGTAATGACTTGTTAGCTAGGTGGCTCACGAATAAAATGAGTCATGCAGCAGAGAGTAAGCAAACTGGAATGGGAAAGGGGAGGAAAGGAGAATCACCAGTGAGCAAATCTGGAAATGCGATCTAGCCTTTATTAGCTGCACTAAGATAGTGCACTGAGATAGCTACCACACAAGTCACACTTAATACAAAGCACTGTGAGAAAGCTGGAAAGCATTTTGTTAGACAGAGCCTCAAAACTTTCTCAGGAGTTGAGGTGAGCTCCTGTGCAAAGATATGCAAATTACATAAAAATGGAATCTATGGTGGATACAAAGGTTTCATCCAGCATTCCTCAAGAATTCCTGAAATCGTAACTGCTGAGGAAAAAAAACCTCTAGATAGCCAATACATGCAATGAAGGAACTGTGAAGTCTAGGGAAGCGCTCCAACGTACAACTGCAATGCTTTAGCCTATTTTAGGTCATTAAAGACATCAGCTACATAAGTTAACATGCTGCCCTTATAATCCATAATATCTTGGTCTGTATAACCAGTCTAATCAGAATCAATGTGCTAAGGGAAAGAAAGTTTCCTAAAGGTACCCTTCCTAACTGACCTTTACCAAAACACATCTAAATACAGAAGAGACTGCAGGTATGGATGGACACAACCTCCTCATCTCCCCCAAGTTAATCCAGTAAGGCAAGTAAGAATTAAATCACATTTTACAGGTTTTTATCATTGAATATAGTGTAGCATTAGGCTAACTTACACTGCATCGTTAGCTCAGAGGGAACCTGGGAGGAAGTTAAAAACCTGTTTTTACTGAGAAACACTGCCAAAAAGACAGAAAATATTTGTATAAGCTGAAAACGTACCGTGAGTATTTCTTCTGTACTTCTTTCTCTTTGTACTGGAGCAACTGGAAACTCAAGAAGGGATTTTACTGTCTTCCTTTTGGCTTTTTCCATTTGAATATTAGTAAAATAGTTGACAGCAGCAAACTCAATAAGAGCAGAGAACACAAAGGCAAAGCAGACCGCTATGAACCAGTCCATGGCAGTAGCATAGGATACTTTTGGCAGTGAATGTCTTGCACTGATGCTCAGTGTTGTCATTGTCAACACTGTGGTTATTCCTTCAAAGAAATAAAGCAAAAGCATTTTTGTAATCGGAGTAAAACAAAGTGAAAATAGGCAAGCAGCTTAAAACAAAGAATTTTAAATCACTTAGGAGTTCTTTCTCTGCTGCTTGTGAATAGTGCATTAGATTTAAGTCATGGGAACCACCATATATCTATAAGCAGCATTGTACATGAAAGAGTTAAATTTTTTAAGGAGGCATGGAAAGCCATGACTTTAGCAGAACATCTACAGTTCACATGAAGAAAACGTGGAAGCTTTCATTAATATTTTTATCATGTCAAGTTCAGTAGAATTTCTTACAACATGTTATTTTATAAACATCTGAACATAACTTAAGTTGTCAAATAGGGGAGTGCTCCTCAAACTGCAACAAAAACATGATTTTTTCCTGTAATGGGTTCAGAATGCCACCTATTACTCTGTGTCTGTTCCTCTGATCCCATTCATAAACCAGGTGCCATTAAGTCATGGCAAATTATTTAGGTGCTAAGGGAAACTTGCAGATCTACCTGCTCAGCCTAGTGGCAGAGCAACGAGAGGAAGCAAAAAAGTTAAGAAGCATCAGAGAGTCTGAGAAAGAGATAGACTGGTGGAACCATGCTCTGCCCTCCCTGAGACAGAAACAGGAACAGCCCCAAGAAAAAAAACAAGATCAAGGGGATCTTGTATCCTACCGCCATCAGGCTGAAGGCTGTAGCTTAAAGGAAAGGAGTGAATAGACAGAGGGCAAGTCCATGCTCAGGGTGGCAATCAAAACTCTTTGCCCATCTTATTTCCTAGGTGCCTCTGTACAACAGGTATGAAGCTCTGGATATGAAAGGCCAGTAAATGGCCAGATGATGTGGATGATGGTCCATCTACACCAGAGGTGTTGCCAAGGTCAGAAAGTCCTACCTCTCATATCATGACCATCTCGATGAGGGAGAAAAGACAGGTTATAGTTGTAGATGACTCCCTTCTGAGGGGAACAGAGGGTCCAATATGCCAGACAGACCCTCCTCTTAAGGAAGTCTGCTGTTTCTCTGGGGCCAAGGTTAAGGAAGTAACTAGGAAACTTTCTAGCAATCAAGAGACTTCAGGGCCTTGGGATAGGTGGCAAGGGGATCTGGAGCACAGGTTATTTTTTCCTCTCTCCTTTCAGTTGTTAGCAGCCACACTGGAAGAAACAGATGCACCCAGTCTATTAATCCATGGCTCCGTAGCTGGTGTCACCACCACAATTGGCAGGTTATCGATAATGGGATGGTTTATATGGAACCAGGCTTGATGGTGTTGGATGGGATTCACCTTTCTCAAAGAGGAAAGAAGGTCTTTGCTCACGATTCTGTGACTCTGTGACAGAGCTTTAAACTAGACTTGAAGTGGGAAGGCGATAGTACTAGGCTTGCCTGTGGCAAGCTGTGAGATAACACACCAAGGTTAGAGGACTGGAGTGCTAGCAAGGGCCTTTAGCCTGTTCTGAGGCATGCTGGGTACACTGGAGCACACTTGAAGTCTTACAGAGATGAGCCAGGGGCTCCTGAGCCAACTTAGCTGGATAAAAACACAGATGCTCACAAAACCTTCTACAGTGGGTAGGTGTCGAAAAACACACCACTGAAAATGTTTAAATCTACAAAAAATTGTAGATTATTTTTTCCCTGGAAGTGACTCATCTCTGCTTCATCCTTGTCCTTCCTGATTCTACCTTTGTTCACTTCAAGCAAATAGTTTGTCTTTTTAAAGACATTTTTTTAAGAGATGCAAGAATAGGGTGATGTGACTTATTAATGACCAATCATTCCCCAAGTACATGGAGGAGGAGAGGCTGTGATAGTATGAGTTTACTGTCGTAGTCTTTATCGGGTTTCCCCCTATTAAATCATTCTTCTGGGAGACATGCAGTTGCTACTGTAACTGCCCTTGGATATATGCCATAGGGATTTACAGGGTAGGGAGCCACTTTCTGGTAATAAAATATATATACACGTGAACCATAATTACCCAGAGCTAAATATTTGCAAGCTTCTGATTGGAAATGCATGTAACCATATAAAAACATATTAATAGTATTTTAATAGTAAAATTATTTTTTAAAACCTGCTTGAAAATTACTGTTGTGTTTCCTCTAAGAAACACCATTCTCGCACAATCGCCAGATTCAGGTGTCTGAAGCTCAGACTGCAGAAATCAAAATCTGATGTGCCTCAGTTCCTTGTGTATTCTTTGCTACTTTTGCCAAGTTTTCCCTAATCATGCAGGGTCTAATGGAAGGACCTCTTGGTTAGCTTATTCAGACAATTCCTCTAAAAAGTTGGTGCAATAGCCGCTATTCTGGCTTCATTCCTATCTCTCGCCTGCAACATTTCCATCTTGTTTTAAGAAAACCTTTAGAAAACAGGGTTCCTTTGGAGTTTGTAAAAAAACTGAAGAGACACTTTTAGCCATACTTTAAGCCACTTGCTTTCAAAGGTATTTCAGAGACTTATCTGTAATTTATTGGATATCCAAACTTCATTATTATTACTTGTTTTCAGCTTCACATATGGCTGTATTGACACACATTACATCTATTACTCTGTAATTTGTACATTTTCAGTTATTACGTTTTTTCTGTAAATACAGATTCTGCCTTTTTAGCTCATGGCAATATTCCCTTCAAAACAAAGTGCCATTTTTCAACATCACTGCAAAGGCATGAGAAGTGATACACTAGTTTGCCTAATGTAATGCCTGAGTTGAAAGCTAGTGGGGTTCTTATTAGGTTTACAGGTTGCTCGTCCTATAACTAATCATTAATCATCCCTAATTTGTGATAGTAAATAGTATTCAGACTGCTTACACGTCCGAATGGCCATCATGTAGAAACATGAATTCCTATCGCTCTTGCCAGCATCTATCTATCTATAGAAATACTTTTCTGTAGAACACTCTCTTCCTAATTAGTCCTACGCTAGACTACAGTACATTATAAAGTCAAGACATGGCTCTATAAAGACTGCTTTTAAAAATGTTTTTGTCCTCCTACTTTGTTAGGATCCGTATTTCCATTTAATTGCTTACGCCACGACTTCCACAGAAGCTTTTTTGTTTTTTATTTTCAGAGTTCACTGTAGCATCTCATTCAAGCTGTATTTTGATGAGGGCAATTTTAATATCTTTCGATAATTTCATTTTTTTAATTCATTTTCATAATGGCAACGACAGAAAGGAGGGAAGAGCACTAAACATGAAATTACAGGATCTAAGCCTTACTCATAGCAAGCCCCCACTAATGACACAGATACCTTGTAAAAAGGCACCTGCACATCTCGCACACTTCCAATCAATTATTTTGAAAGGATTTTAGAGGGTGTGAGTTCACGTAATTATGTTACTGTCCACTGGAGGAAAAAACTGCTCTGGATGTAGTTTAAGGACTTGACTGGATTATTCAGGCCCAGGTCTTCTCAGTTTGCTCCTCCAAGCGAGTAGAATCATAGAATCATTTGGTTGAAAAAGACCTGTAACATCACTGAGTCCAGTCATAACCTGTCCACTACTAAACCAGGTGTCTAAGCACCACATCTACCTGTCTTTTAAATACCTCCAGGGATGGTGACTTGACTACTTTCCCTGGGCAGCCCATTCCTTCACTGCCCTTCCATGAGACCTACTCCAGTGCCTCAAAGTCCTTCCTGTAGTGAGGGGCCCAAAACTGAACGCAGTAGTCGAGGTGCAGCCTTATCAATGCCGAGTACAGGCGCACAATCACTTCCCTGGTCCTGCTGGTCACACAGTTTTTGATACAGGCCAGGATGCTGTTGGCCTTCTTGGCCACCTGGGCACAATGCTGGCTCATATTCAGTCAGTTGTCAACCAGGACCTCAATGCACTTTTCCACCATGCAGCTTTCCAGCCACTCATTCCCAAGCCTGAAGCGCTGCACGGGGTTGCTGTGACCCAAGTGTGGGATTCAGCACTTGGCCTTGTCAAACATCATACAACTGGCTGCAGCCCATCGATCCAGCCTATTCAGGTCCCTCTGTAGGGTCTTCCTATCCTTGAGCAGATCAACACTTCCACCCATTTTGGTGTTGTCTGCAAACTTACCGAGGGAGCACTCAATCTCCTCATCCATGTCATTCATAAAGATGTTAAACAGAACTGGCCCCAACACAGCACCAAGACGAAAACCACTTGTGACTGGCCTCCAACTGGATTTAACTCCATTCACCACCACTCTTTGGGCCCAGCCATAAAGCCAGTTTTTTGCTCAGCAACAAGTATGCCTGTCCAGGCTATGGACGGCCAGTTTCTCCAGCAGAATGCTGTGGGAAACTGTCAAAGGCTTTACTAAAGTCCAAGCACCCTACATCTACAGCACTCCTTTCATCCACTAAGCAGGTCACTTTGTCATAGAGGGAATCCCCACAGATGTACCCCCAATTTGCCACAGGCAACTGTATCACCCGTCTAGTTAAATATCCCAAGTTTCTCTTGAGATTTCAAGAATTCATGTAACAATATTCTTCATTCATTGATAGCAAAAATTCCTCAGAATTTACATTATTCCCTTGTCTCTGCACTAGTACCGAAGCAGTATACACCAATGAACTGAAAAGGCCTATTCTAGTTAAAGTAAATAAAAAAGGAAGCATGGGGGGGAGGGGGGGGGAAGGGAAATAATTACCAAATACAGTTCTAGCTGGAACAGATTCCTTATTTATCCAAAATGAAACTTGAGAAAGGATCACGGTCATAATGCATGGGATATAGGTCTGAATCATAAAATAACCCATTTTCCGTCTGAGGTGGAAGTAAACTGTCATAACAATATATTCACCTAGAAAAAAAGAAAAAACAAAGAAGAAAATATTTTTATGACTGTGCCTAACATTTGTGTTGCAGAACAACTGTTTCAGACTGTCAGCTAGGAATGTTTAAGACAATACTATTCATACCACTTAACACGTATGGAAAAATATGTTCCCTGGAAACAAACACGAATGAATGTTTTAAACAAAAAATTCTGGAAGTTGTAGGTCCTTGCAGTGCTATTCTGAAGCTGCTATCAAAAATACTATAAATGCACAGCTAGTACTGATTACATTTTACAATATAAGCATGATTTTAAAAATTCTTTTGGCATCTGTTGAAGAAAAAGAGTCTCACGACACAAGCTATCTACCTACCATAGTATTCAGAACATTGTGGTACCTACCTGCCAAATAACAACGTCGCACATTAAATGGTATGGAAGCATCTCAACTTCTTACATTTTACTTTTTTTTTATGGTAATGAAACAAATGCAAAAATCATTATCAACAATTAAAAATTCTGTAAGTTCATCTAAAATGCCATCATTCATACTAAAAAATTGCAGTTCTACCACAGACTGAAAAAGCATCTAAATAAAACACTACAGAATGAGCATTTTGGGGACAGTAAGGAAATTCTGTTGTTAATTCATAATAACACACTGAGAATTAAATTTCTAGTGTATTGTACAACACTGCTTTATCTTTGAGAAAAACAAAAGCTATACCTCATATACATTTGCTTTATCTCTTTCATTTTGATCATCTCATAACACACAAACTTGCTGATGCTTAGAAAATTATTCCAAATTTTAAAAATATTTTGAGAATATCCTTGTTTATCACCACATTGCTCATCAGTGATACTTCACTCATTTCAGATGCCTGTAGTTGCCATTTGCCTTATTTCTTACAGCACAAATCAGCACAAGTATCTATTGTGACTAATGCATTTGTGCCTATCCTTATTTGACTAGAGGGTTTTTATGGCTTTAATAACCCATTCTGTATGCTGTACTTCTATCCCGAGCTGTTTGCACCGCCAAACAAAGGAAGTCTTTTGCACATAATGTGGATACAGTGCTGAGAAATTACTTCCTCACCCAGGCATCCTCTTGACTCTTCAAACTGCATTTTAAGCAGTGATTAAATACTCATTTTGTCCCTTGGAGTAACGATCTCATTCTAGCTCTCTGAAAGACCGTCGCAATCTACTGTAATGAATCTGCAAATGTAAATGTGAAGGACAGAAAACTAATTCAGATTTATGCTCTCAGCCCTTAATATATACCCTATGCCATTCAGGAAAATACTTTGCAGGAATGAAAGAAAAAAAGCCTTGGGCAATGTTACAGGGTTAGCTTTACCTCAAGTTGATTTTTACTGATGAGATTCCTACCTGTAATAGATTTAATGGTTTCAGTGGATACAGTATGCCCAAGGAGGTCATACTGAACTAAACTGGAAGACTCCTCTGGAACTTCCACTGACTTCTCAGGTCCTTTTGTCCAGGTATAAATCATTTCACTCTTTGGATAAGCATCTACAACACAGCATCAGTTTACATAAATAGGAAACTTCTCACACTTCACTAACAGCCCAATCCAAACCTAATGAAATCGAACAGCAAGACTCACACTAACAACTTTAGAAGGTACCCTTTCCATTAAGTTATCCCCAAATGCCACCCTTGGAGGACAATGTCATAGGGTTATATGCCAAGTGTCACACACAGATTCGCTTCACATTTGAATGTGAAGTTTAAACACAAGTTCTTTCTGGATCAGCCCTTATTGGGCATGTAAAGTTTATCTTTAAAATAGTTTAAAAATTTTATCTAAAATTTTATCATTAAAACATACTAATATATAAAAAAGAGCATGTATAAAGAGAACACATTTTGGAGACTGGATGTACATTTCTTTACAGAAAAGAATAATTATACTAAAAACTGTATTATACTAAAAACTATACTATTTTAAACTTGTGTTTAAAATATTTGCCAGAAACCAGAGGTGAGTAAAAAATTCACAAGAGCCCAAAAATAAGCACACCCAAAGAAACATTTTACATTTAATACAAAAGACATAACTCAGGGCTAGCATTCAAACCCTACACAGCCCAAACTCCTGTTAAAATTACATTAAATCAGTCTTACACTTGAAACAGCTATGTCTTATTTCACGTTTTGCTGAGGAAGGTATCAGATTAGTGTCAAGTGCAATATCTGCTGGTTGGTGATTCTGCCTGAAGAAATTTGCCTGTAGAGAAGCCCTCACTATTGAAGCACCCCTATCTCACAGCTGATACCAAAGCCAATTCTAGCAGTACCTGGTCTTCAATCTCACCATAACAGGGATGAAAAACCTGATCAGAACAGTGTCTTTAAAATCCCCTTTCTGCTTAACTATCCAGCTGGATAAGCTAAATTTATGCAAAGCAAAGACTATGAGTAGCTTCCAGCCATTTCTAACTTCAGAGCTCTGGGGTCAAAGGAAACAGATTAATGTCCAAATACTGACTACATCTGAGTGTAAACCAGAGACGTCAGCAACCAGGGACTGAGAAAAGTGGTAAGATAATTAATGGAGTGCATCAACCATCCCCAAGTAGTCTCAGAGATCTCTGCTGAGGATTAAAGTTAGGAAATCATAACTACCTCCCTTGATTGCTATGCAGTGCATCCCAAAATGTTCCTTCTAGACAAAGTTTGGAGATTATCCAAAAATCTACATCTGATTTCAAAGCACAGAGGGAAAGTCACCTGCACTAAGATTCCTCTCAGCAGTGTAAAAACTGTTTCTCTAGACTAAAATTGTCATGCAGACTCCCATTACAGGACAGGGGATTGGAGACAGACAAATACAACTAAAGATCAAATCTTTACTCATAACCTACACATCTAACTTAGGATGTCAATTTGCCTCCACTGACTGTAGACTAAGTCAAACAATGTGCTTCCCTGGGTGCCTTTTACCTGGCTGTTGTAAGGTGAGATGGATCCCACCTTCTTTGTCTTCTCTAGAGAATCTCTCGCTTCACTGAGTATCCAGTTCTTCCCTAAGAACCAAGAAAAACTACATATTTTCAAGCAAATGTGTAGCCAGAATAGTGGGGTTTAACATAACAGCTGAATCACAGCTTGCTTTTCAACTCTCTGCCTGGGTTTAATTTTTCAGACCTTAAATAAAATTCTCAAGGAAATTAACAGGAGTTTTGTCTGCATAAGGATTGTGTATCAAGACTAATATACAAAAAGTTTAGTAATTGTTCAAAATCTACTACTATTTAAATTCTGTAGTTACAAGAAATGTCATAATTGCAACTTACAACTCCCAAATTTGAGAGGACAAGCATGACCATCCATGGGAAAATCCACTAATCTCATGGGACACTCTGCACTTATTGTAAGCCTATAATGGAACAAATTAAATAGTCTCTGGTTGCCATTTTGTCTAGGCAGTATAACTTTTTGCATACAGTAATTGTAAGAAGCCGAACAAACAAGTTACATACCTCATTGTGTACAGGATGGTGCCATTTCTCATTATTCTGAAGAGTTTATTTGGGGCTGTCATATTATGTGCAACAGACTTTTTCCCATTCCTGAAGAAAGTGTCAGGAGTCCACACCTTCGAAACCATCAAGTTGTTAAGTCTTAAAATTTCAATAGGGCCATCATATTTTAATCTTTTGTCTACCCATGTCTGACGGAAGAAGACATCCATTGTATACTCCTGTATTAAATTGCAGAAAAACAAAGATCACATGTGCATATATAAGTGTTTCCTGTAGAATACAGAAATCCCTCAGGAGTAAAGAAATTAGTAGTAAAGAAAATGCTAAGTCCACTACACAAATATATTTCCCCCAATTAAAGTGTGTTGCATACTTCTTAATAGCTTAATTCCCCACATTAGTCATATCAATAAATTGCTACACATATTTAATCGTTAAGAAGTAATTAATCTAATTAGGTTGCAGGAAGCAGGCAACTGAATTTGTAGTCAAGCATATAACTGGAAACAAAATGATCTCTGACAATAAGTGTCAACAGATTTTGAAAGAAAAGATATCCATGGATTTTCTGCTGCTGGATAAATTAAAAACATTAGGACAAGCAATTATTTACACTTTAAAGTCAGGAAAGAAAATTTAATTTCAACTGATGGAAGGTGAGCTTTTAAGTGAGGAAAGCTAAATATTTCCTTTGCCATGCCCACAAAACATGGATAAATGTGCATATACACACACTTTTATTTAACTACATAACTATCCCATTAACTTCTTCAGAAAAGCCATTTAGATGATCCAAAGAAAACATGCAAACAACTGCAGAATTGCAGACACAGGCACATCATGAAAAATCATATGTGAATGAATGGACAAAAGAATGCATTTCTCATCTTGGGAAGCTAAAGCATTTAACAAAAAAAGCATCATGTGGCTTTTTAAAACATAACACAGAAAGCTTTAAGTCCTTTCTAACTTACAGCTGTGATTTTGTTGTTAGCTCAAACAATGTTTTCTGACTTTATTTCAAACTCTTCTGCATAATGTTACTATTGCAATTTCTTGTATGGCCTTATCTATTCGCATGGGCATGGAGGGATGTCTACTAGTGTAATGCACCTTAAAATTAGATCTGTTTTCATTTCCATGGCCGCATCCTTCACTGAGGTTCAAAGTTAATCTATAAGAAGTCTCTTTTGTAGCATCATTTCTTGCTGGTGACTTCACAGTTCACAAGTAGCACTTTCTGTTATTAGCTTCTGTATGACAGATTTTGTAATTTAAGATTTCAACCCTTTTCTTTACACTGGGTACCAAAGTAATCCAGCTCTAAAAAGACATTGTGATCATCTGCTGTACTGAGACTATATCACACTTTGATGTTTCAGTGAGTTTTATGAGTGCAGCCACATTCAGATTACACTGGGTCACTAATGGATACATTAACCAAAAATTATTCCAAAACCAATTCCTGGATCCCTGAATAACCTCCTAACTAATCCCTAATAATGAAAGGGGAAACATCTCCTATAAACTCTCCTTTTGCCAGTTCCTTACCTACCTTCAGACCATGTTCTCACTCCTGCCTTCTTCAATGTAACTAATAATTTCTGACCTGGTACTATGACAAATGCTTCAACGAAACCCGAGAGATGCCATGCAGCCCTCATTTCATATTTGAGGCATACATTACTAATTTTCTTGGGACCAGATTCTTGTACCCCTTGTCACACTGAACAGCATCATTCTGTACATGACAACCATTGAAGGGGTAAAGATGCATTTCAACTTGAAACTGCTGTTGTCAATCTAGTCTGTGAAAAAATATCTTGCTATCACATACCTTTCCACATCACAGAATCACAGAACGTTAGGGATTGGAAGGGACCTCAAAAGATCATCTAGTCCAATCCCCCTGCCGGAGCAGGAACACCTAGATGAGGTTACACAGGAAGGCGTCCAGGCGGGTTTTGAATGTCTCCAGAGAAGGAGACTCCACAACCTCTCTGGGCAGCCTGTTCCAGTGCTCTGTCACCCTCACTGAGAAGAAGTTTCTTCTCAAATTTAAGTGGAACCTCCTGTGTTCCAGCTTGTGCCCATTACCCCTTGTCCTATCATTGTTTGTCACCGAGAAGAGCCTGGCTCCATCCTCGTGACACTCACCCTTTAAATATTTATAAACATGAATGAGGTCTCCCCTCAGTCTCCTCTTCTGCAAACTAAAGAGACCCAGCTCCCTCAGCCGCTCCTCATAAGGGAGATGCTCCACTCCCTTAATCATCTTTGTAGCCCTACGCTGGACTCTCTCCAGCAGTTCCCTGTCCTTCTTGTACTGAGGGGCCCAGAACTGGACACAATATTCCAGATGCGGTCTCACCAGGGCAGAGTAGAGGGGGAGGAGAACCTCTACTACCACATGATAGAACCAAATCAGGTGAACCATACAGTGCATGGCAGCGCTGTATTGGAAGAAAGTTACCACCCTACAACTGCTTTTCCCTTAAAGAAGTTGAGTTTAGCACATATGGCTGTGTTACTTTCATGTGATTTCTTGGATATTTCATAAAAAGAGAAACTATTGTGTGATTTAAGGGTATACCACTAGTCTATAGAAGTTGATGAGAGTTATGCTGGATTTGACCTCACATGAATGCAGATGCCATTCATGCAAAAATAACAGTGCATGCAAATGTAGCATTTCCCTTCTGTGACTATTTTATGCACATCACTTTGGCATTCAGTTTCTGCAGATATTTATGAAAACTCTTATCAAACATTTGCTGAAAGTGATGCTAAAAGGGACACAGAGATCAGAAAAGGGCATTCATATGAAATGAAAACATCAACAAGTATTTGTGAAATGATGTAATAATTATTCACCTGAGAGTAACACAAATCTCGGAAAGGAAAAGCAATTTCAGAGATATTACACATTTTCCCTATGGTAGACTGACTTAAACACTTCCCACAAGGCCTGATTATGCCTCTACACTGCTGAAGTCTGTTTTAAATCCTATGAAGTTAATTCCTTAAACCAGACAAAAACCAGTGAAAGTAGGACCAGAATCAGGCCTGATGTATCTAATTATAACCTGTAAATTAAGCTGTTACTAATCTTGTCTACTTTGCATGATTGTCAGAACAGTACAGATAAAGCATCCACTCCTTACTGCAGTTAATAGTTTCTCAGAACCAGGAAATGACATTTTAATCCCAGAAATACATACCATTTCTACATCAGAAACAGGTCCAAAACTGGTGACATATATATCTGTTTTGACTTCAGTAACAGGACCTAATGTATGAAAAGGAAGTGAGCAAGAAAATTTGAATTTTGCAGGTCAACAAATCCCATAAATGATCCTGGCATGTGAGCGGTTATTGCTTTAAGGGTTCTGTGGATAAGCAAGAGCAAAATAAAAATACAAATCATTTCAGATAAGTCTCTAATAACAAGTATTGATCAATTACCTTTACCACATAAGTAAGTCAAAAGCAGAATTTCCATGTAAATCCCCATTCAGAAAGCCAATGTTGGCTCAGCAGATAGTAAACAGATACCAAAAAAATAGAAGGCTCACTGAAAACACCATGCTAATTAACAACAAGCACCAGATCCAGGAAATCCACATTCCCCAACGCATTAATTACTGACATTCGGTCCTACTGGTAATAACTGGACTACAGATATTAGCATGCCATGCACTGGCCAATTTAGCACTGCAGTATCAAAATCTGCATCCATATCCTGAGATGCACTTAAGTACTTTGATACTAACAATCAAAGTAAAAGTTGGGTATCTCAGCATTTTTGAGGGTCTGAACACAGGTCTAGATGCTACCACAAAGCCAGTCTTGAAAGAAATAGTGATACTTAGGGCACTATTCAAAACAGTGCACCAAGTAGAAGTCTTGCGATTTCACAGCTGGGTACCACATAGCAACCATCAGAGAAGGCAGTTTCATTTTAACATTTCATTTCCTTTACTACAGGAAAAAATACCTTGAATTCATATGGGCATTCACTCTACAGTTCCCTTTTAAACCAAAGAACATGTGCACTAACTAATTTCACTGGGATTTAGGTCTGTTCTTGAGACAAAAGGCTAGAAAGCTGTTAATCATTACCAGTGATTATGATGATTCTGTGATCAAAGCACTAGCTAATGGTTTAATTCAGGTAATTAACTCATGTTGTAAATTTAAAAAAAAATAAAAATTTACTGAAGGTCTTACCAAATGGTATCTGTTTGTAAAAAACATATGATCTACAAATTCACAGTTTCTAAACCCTTAAAACTCAAGTTTCTAAAGAGAGTAAGTGTAGAGCTTGTTAACGTTGAGGCTCAAGTTTGTTAATTCAGGCTTTATCATAGTATTTGCTTTCTAAATACAAAAGGAGGAAAGACTTAAGGCTGTTAGCAGCAGAAGAATATGTCCTGCTAACAAAGAAAATAATTTTTTTTTAAAATTACTGTTCACAGATGTCACTGAATCAAATGTTAAAAGGAGAAACAGAAATAAGCAACTGGAAAATGGGGAACATATACTTTTTGCACCAAATGTCAAACCATGAAAAAAAAGTAAAATAAAACTATGTAAAATTATTTCACTTAACAGCCTGCAATTTACGTAGAGAACAACTAAAAAATTTTAGCTAAATATCAAAAAAACCCACAACTTTGCTGAAAGTTAACAGATTCACAGGACAACATTTTTTAAAGAAAAAATCTAAAGAAAATTCACCCTGCAACAGTTGGTAGCTCAGCGGTCCCTGGAAAGTTGAATAGTTCGGTATGTCTGTCTAGAAGAGGTTTGAAGAAGAAACTCCCAAGTTCCAGACAACACACTTTCATGCCATGCTGTTTGTTTTGCGGTGAGTTGTTCTCTAAATGTGTCAAATGGAAGCTGCTCCCCTTTCTACAAATAAGGAAGTGTTCATGAGGCCACAGAAATCCATGAGTGGTTAGACCACTCATTTTACTGACAAGATAGTCCAATGACATTTCCTGAACATAGTAATTTCTAGAGAGCAGAAGAGCTCCAGGAGACTAGAAGAACTCTTACTAGAGCTGTCAAGATACTGGAAGTGAAGACATTTGTCTGCAGCACTAGAAAATCGGGGAGAAAAGCCCAATCATACTTGTACATGGATATAGAAAAGACCCAATCCTATCTGACCTCCCATAATCACAAGACTATAATGAATCTAGGGTTGGTTTAAATATATAAATATTTATTCCACCTGAACCTGAAATGTTTCTGAAATTGAAGTTCTATAGAAATGAAAAAGTAGTTTTCCCACATAGCTTTAATAAGAAAATGTAGGAATTAGTTTCTGTTACTCAGTAATAAAAGAACACTGAATATTGCTCTCAGATCCTGAATTCCTTTCAGGAACTCCTTTATTTGTTAGTTCTAAGAAACTAAATAGAAATATTCCTAAAAAAAAAAAAACCCAAACCTGCAACTGCTTTCCTCTGGTGATATCTTCTTTTCTTTAGCTCTCAGAACACTGCAATTTTACAATCATATCAAATTAGGCAAAGGGATAATTTTTTTCCACAGGCATGAGCTGCTTCTCCTCAGGCATTGATTTCTTTTGTTTTATTAAATGATCAGAGTTTCATGGGCAATAAGTGTTCAGAGGTTTTTAGCAAGTTTATTTTTATTTGGAGTTTCTCAGAAAAGAGAGCTAAGACCAAGAAGCTAATCTCCAAATCAGCAAGCCTATGATTTAATGCTATTAGAAATCCTATACCAGTAGCACAGGACAAAATGTATGCTCGAGTTCATTCTTCAGTAACTCCTATTCTGCTCTCAAACCTTTATTTATTAGTAGAACTCATGAGAAAGAAGGAAGCAGGACAGCAATGAAATCATAAAATAAGGCTGAAATTTAAGTTTACTTTTTGTTGCTTGCCTGACATGATAGCAGTACAGAGACAAAGCAAATGTTAAAATCATATTTTAAGGCCACTAGAAAATGGCAGATGAATGAGGATCTAGAAATATTTTAGGCATAATAACACTTATCCCAGTTAGTACTGATGTGCAAATCCTTGCTTTGCATCCAAAATCTCAGACAAACATGAAGATGTTTGGTAGGAGTGAAGACAGCAGCAAGGGACGATGAAGCTGATTATCTCCCTAATGCTTTTTCTCCAATTGCAGCCCTGTCGTGCTCCACCTGTTCCACCTACTTTGTCAGTTCGCAACTGTTAAAGCCAAACCTTGGATTTTCTAGCACATCCCAGTACTTAATGCCAACCCAGGAGTATCTATGGCGATATCAAAACCTATCCCTTATTCTTCTTGTTCTAGAAGAAAACATCACTCCAGTTAGTAACAATAGCAGGGGTACAAATAGTGAATCATGCTGCACTTCTTAAAAAAAAACTATTATTAATCGTGGGAATTCCTGTCAATGAGGAGGTGATCTGTAGTCACCTAACCTACTTTTACTGGTGATTTAAGGAGTCCTCTGAAATGACTGTGTTGCACTACTTAATCAAATCGGGCTCTGCAAGCAGAAGATCCTATTAGAATCCTTAACACTCTATTACTGGCAATAAAACGCAGCAAGTTGTAAGAAGGCCAATTAACTTTAGATATGACCATTTGGGCTTCTCTCTCAATGGATGTTCAGAAAGGATTTATCCACCATAAATCTTCAGGAACACTGAAGAACTATTTATAACATACTGGTGTGTATTTTTATGTCAATGAAAGAGGAGGAGAGTCCTACACACTGCAGTGGGAACAGCTAAGTCTGAATCACTGCTTGCAAGATAATATACTTTAAAGAAGCTCAGGCAGGATTAAAAGCAACCCCTGCAAAAAGCCAGAATAGTTCAGTGTTAGATAGAGATGTTGCATGTGGGTTGAAGAAGCGATGCCAGGCCCTAACCCTGTGAAGTGGAACATAAGACAGCTCTCCCATGCATTTTATGCCAACATATGGGTTGAGCTGCAACACAGCTCCCAGCAGAAGACTTTGGGCTCCATTATCCCTGCGTTTCCATAGGCAACTGTCATTGCAGAGATCTCCACTGTATGTAAACAGTCAAATCCTGAACAGGCTTTCTGTATCTTGCAAATTTTTGCCATCAAGAGTCATGCAACCTACCAGGAACATTAGCACAGGAGTCTGTACCACGGTTTCAACATACAAAGTACAATTTAAATGCTAAGTGCAGTTATTGCTGCTATTATGAGAACAGTCCCACAATACAAAAACTACATGAAATTATATTACATCAGTTCCTACAGCTACATTAAAAAAAAAAAAGCAGTTGCTACAGATTTTTTTTTTAACATAACTACATGTGAAAGATTTGGTGCTTTCCAAATTCTTGCTGCCTGAATTGGGTTGATATCTTTTAAGTGAAGGGGGGGGGGAAAAAAGCCATCATATGAAGCACAACCTCTTGTTTCATTCTATCAGAAAGAACTGCTGAGGACACCTTCTATATGTAAGATTTCTGTTAGGAAACGAACAACTAGGTAAGGCATTTTTTTTTAATTAATGTAGAATTCAAATACACGGGCTACATTCCCTACCAAAAGACAAATACTAGAAACGTAACAGCACACAATAACTTCTATCTCTACGTATGTTCATCGATTAGCATGTCTGAACCCTGAAAAGGGAAAAGCATACCTGCAGAAATGAGGCGATTACTGTTTCTTTGCCTGCTCATCAGCAATCTCTGCTGAGACAGCCAACAAGCTTGAAACTGGTGCCAGTTTTCATGATGTGGACACCTGTCTACTAAGAACTGGACTAAGAATATGAGCTAATTTTATACAGGTCACTGAAAAACAGACAGATGGCAGTGACTTCAAGCATTACTAACCTGGGCCGAATTCAAATCAGTCCACTACAGGTATCTAACACCATATCCTGTTAAGCCTTTGAGTCATCTACTCTCACCAGCTGAGGAAGACTAGACAACTGCCTGAAAAAAAAGATCAACTTCACTTTACAATGCTCACTTCAAGTCCATTTGTAATCTAAAAAATAAAAATAAATTACAATATCTATTATGCTAAGCAATAGATGAGTTCCTAATAAGGGCAGTTAATCATCTAGATATTTTTCTTTTCTCTAAAAACAGAAAATTGTCTTTGCTTTTTAAATCTGTTCTGTGTTTATTTTGTGACTATAGTCACTCCTCCTGCATTGACAGGAAATGAAACTCTTCAGAAATGCTGTTCATCAGCCGAACATCACACAGCCTAGAAGGGCAAGATGATGGCCATTTCCATCAAGTACTCAGCTGCACTTTCACT